CGGCTAGATCCATTTGCCATAAGTCATCCAAACCTTTGATGATAATGCGGCGCCTTGGAAATTTTTTCCTAGCAGGTCTATGTAATTCATTGACGAGTTGGATTTTTTCTTAAGAATGTGACATATTGACTTTGTTGGATTAGGAGTTCATATGATGGGTTTCACACAGGAGGCTTCGTTTTTGGTGGCGTTGGTGTTGTCGTAGATTTTGGAGTGATGGCAATCTTGGTCAGATCTTTTTTCATTTGATCAATGACATCAGCGAGCTGGCGTTCTTTATCACAGCTGTGTTGTTGCTCAGCCTTCAAATCGTGCAAACTCTTCACAGTGTTGTCAATCTTATCGACAAGTTCTAGAATATTTTTCACATTCAAGTCGATGTCGCTTTCGAGTTTTGGTAGAGAGTTGTTGCGAAGCTGCTCCACATGTATGTTGATCTTGTGCACTATGCCAGACAACTGAACAAAGTTTGTATTGAACGTTGCCAGTTTCTGATCATGTACATCCACTCTCTTCCTTTCTTCGATAATTTCGTTGCTGAAGCCAGCAAGGTAATTCCGGATTTTTTCACCGTAATTATCGAAAGCAATCTTGAAATCTAACTTTATTTGCGATATAACTTCATCCACATATTGTTTGTTTGCAACATCAGCGGCATCTGTTGGCAGTTTTACATTACACATCTTCAAATGACCAACATCAATATCACCGGTTGGAGTATGTGAAATTCCAGATCTGACTGTCACCATCTGAGCTGAGCGTGGAAACAAACCACGTCCGAATTTGTCGAGACTCATTATGCTAATGACTAAAGTATTGTACGTTATCGATAATGGTAGACACTTTGCCTCGCCAATTATTAGCCCCTTCACTCATAGACATGCCATGAAAGTGTTACGGAACTGTCAAGGAAGTGTCACGGAACTGTCACGGAAGTGTCAAGGAAGTGTCACGGAACTGTCACGGAAGTGTCCAGGAAGTGTCACGGAACTGTCACGGAAGTTGTCATGGAAGTGTCACGGAAGTATCACAGAAATGTCACACATGTTTTATTATGCCTGCCTCTTCTAATTCGTTCAAGATGGCAACAATCTCGTTATCGTTTGATGTATTTCCGGCTTGCTGTGATGCAATGAGCAACTTCAATCTATCTACCAATTCGTTTGGATCATCCCAATACATGTATTCGATAGGTGCTGTGTTGTATGTCAACTTCAAACCACGACCACTTGAGTTGGATCTGAACATTGGACGAATAATTTCTACGTATTTGAGTCTAGAGGAGGACTTCATACGTCCTGCAGAATTCAGATGAGCTCTGGTGAGCAAGAGTATTTGCTTGTATGGGTTCGTATCATCTTTGGCAAAGGATGGATCATTATAGAAGAGTTATTGATAGGGTGCCACGGAACCGAGAGCCATCAAGAAGTATATCTCCAGTTCTTCGATGGAAATTCATTTCTTTTCCGTTGAGAGACCATTTCGATGTTACTGGATCATATTTGGGACCATAAACCTCATCGATATTTTCATCATTTGTCCAGTATTCAGTCAGATATTTTTGAGCCATCGCAGGATACTGATCAACGTAATCATGTATTGCAGCCGGTGAGATATTTTCACTCTCTACAAAAAGTTCATCATCAGCATCGTCATAACCATCCTCATCATCATCATCAGTATGCCCAGCATTATCAGCCACATTCATCATAGGTTTGAAATTAGTTTGATTCAAATCCGATTGCTCCCTCTCCACCTCCCCATCCTCTTACTCCTTCTTCTCCTTCTTCTACTCCTCCTTCTTCAACCCCAACGATTTTGCTCTACTTCGCTTGATGTTTGAAAGCGTTCCATCGAGTTTTTCTTCCATGACCTTGAACGCGGAGGCAATTTGTTTCAAAGGTGATGTCAGTGGTTGGAATATTTTCTGTAACGCATCATCATCTTCAGACTTGCCCAATTTTAGTGCTAAATATTTTCTTCTGATAGTTCGTTGATTTTTTTCTTGCGCAGCGCATCAGCAACATCATCATGCATCTTGGTTGACGTCATCTTGATGAATGGTCCAAAGATCACAGTCTTATGAACTTATCGAAACCATTTCTATATCTGCCAGCATTCATATCGAAAGTTTTTGCAATCACCATCGCACCATATTGGTTGGAATTCCAACACTCTGAGCACAATGCTTTAAATTGATCGAATGACATGTCTGGTGAGACATGCTCGTCGAACACATGCTTCAAATTCATTTCATCCTGTCGAAATAACACCAACAGGTTACTGTTGTCTCGCACCAGCTGCTTCGGTATCTTAGAAAAAGTCTGGCATAGGTATGCTACGTCAATATCCTTGTGTCTACACATTGAAAAATATTCTCGAATTTTTTGCTGCTTGTCGCATGATACATCATCAAAAATGAATATCGATTGATTTTTCGCTTCTGATGGACTAATGATCATTCTCTTTAAAGGGAAAATACCCAACACCTTTCACTGAATCCAACACTTGTTGCAGCAATTGATATTTCGGTTGGTACAACGACTTTGAATACACGTAAACGTTCTTGAATTTCGCGCCATTTGGATCGAACAGCAGGGAAAGCATCGCATTGGTCTTTCCACATCCGCTTGGTCCGCAGAAGATTGCTCTGAACGAATGGGGAAGCAGTTTCCCATGTTCACTATTTACTGGTGGTTTGGTTGACAAAATTTCATCCAAATTCACAATGGGTAACATCCGTTCTTGTTGAATGATCTTCATCATGTGATGATATATTTTTCATTTCATTAGGTATATGCAGAGTTGTCGAACTTACTACACATCAGTCTTCATGTTGCTCTACCACGGAGAGGGTGTGCTTAATTCTCTGATCGATAAACTTCCCATCGAATTACACATTCCAGGCTACAGATTTTGTGGTCCAGGTACCAAACTCGATAAAAGACTTGCAAGAGGAGACACCGGTATCAATCCGTTGGACGACGCGTGTCGAGAACACGATATCGCCTATTCACAAAATTCCTCAATAGAAGACAGACACAAAGCTGATTGGATATTGGAAAATAGAGCGTGGGAGAGAGTCAAGTCGAAGAACGCTAAATCCAAAGAGAAGGCTGCTGCTTGGCTTGTCACCACCGGAATGAAGGTCAAACGAAAACTTGGCATGGATCTTGTATCACAGCAATCCCTATCCAACATTATCAAATTCATAAAAAATGTACTATCAAAGTCAGATGGTGGTGGTGGTGGTGGTGGTGGTAGTACAACATCAGGAAGTGGTCTGAATAAATCTGCATTGAAAGCACTCCATGCAGCCAGAATGGCAATCAAGAGGGCTGGCGGTAAAAAAAGAATCAGAGTACCAAGAATCATACCTCTTCCACACAGTGGCGGTATACTACCATTGATACCAATCTTTGCCGCCTTGGGGGCCCTAGGATCTCTAGCTGGAGGAGCCGGAGCAGTCGCAAAGACAGTCATTGATGCGAAAAATGCAAAGAAAAAGCTCGAAGAAGATCAAAGGCATAATAAAGCAATGGAGGCTATCGGCAAGCAGGGTTTCAGCCTATTTCTACGCAAAACATCGAGAGGATTCGGACTGTACTTGAAGAAACAATCAAAAAACTCAAAAAACTTCTAGACAAGCTACCCAATAAATCAATGTACGATGAAGATGTGATAAAGTATGCCAAACAGCTGAAAATACCGTATTTTCGAGGTGTTTTTATGCGGGACACTCTACCTTCCACCGGTCCATGGCATCGCGAGTGTGCTGTATTGAATTTGGATACCTCCAATCATGTGGGCACTCATTGGGTGGCTTACATAAAAGATGATAAAAAAGCCTTATATTTCGATAGTTATGGTAATCTGAAACCGCCCAGAGAATTGGCGCAATATTTGGGTGCCAGCACGAAAATCTTGTACAATAACAATCAATACCAAAATTTCAATCAAAGTAATTGTGGACGTCTATGTTTAGAATTCCCTTTTAATGAGACCAAGTAACTCGGTCATTGTGCATCAGTCATGTCTCTGATTGTGACGTTGAAAGGTCGTACATCTACGCTCTCCATAGACTTTTTGACACCACTTCAACTCGATCCAGACTCTGATTACGGACTAGCATTGTTGGGATTCCATTCATACAACAGTATACCAAATATCGACAAAGGATCAAAGTTTTATCTGCAAGATAAGACCAAGGCGGGAAAGATCATCGATATTCCCGAAGGTTCATACGACATTGTGGACATTGAGAAATTCATACGCAAAGAATTGGGCATCTCAAGTGCAAAGGACGTTGATGATATATTCTCGTTGAAGCCCAACAATAATACACTAAAGTGTGAGATTTCGAGCAAACAGTTTGTCATTGATTTTCGTCCGAAGGATAGCATAGCTCAAGTCTTGGGATTTTCAAATAGATTGTTGAACGCACAAGAAGTCCACACTTCCGATTTGCCGGTCAGCATAACCAAAGTGAGAACCATTCACATTGATAGCAACGTTACTGCTGGAGCTCTCTACAACGACAGACCATCACATACGATCTACGAGTTTGCAGTTGCAGTCGATCCTGGTTACGCCATAGACGAGACTCCCAGAAATCTAATGTATCTACCTATAGTCAGCAGGCGGGAATTGCCCAACATTACGCTCCAGATTCTAGACCAAGATTTCAGGCAGGTGAATTTTAGAGGTGAAGAAATCATCATAAGATTGGAATTGAAGAAACTCGCAAGATGGTACTAGTGTTTGATTACTCCTATAAATCAGATAATATACCATCATCAACAACATCATCGGCACCAGTTCTCTCGACACCGTACACCAAAGCAGTCGTGTCTTCGAAGAGCAGCAACAGAAAAACATTGACATTATCCAGTGTCCTGTTTCTGAAATCACTCAAAGACTACAATGTTGTTAGCACCCGTGTTCGACGTTTTCCGCAAACTCAGATTCGACGAAAGCATCACTAGAATGGAATGGCGTACCTATTATCCATATGTGAAATCATTCGAGAACAATGATGTCATCGATATAGCGGTTAATCAAGCAGATTCGTGGTTGGCCATGTTTGAAGGTATCAATACCATCAAGGGTAAATTGAAGGTGACCGGTGGTGGTACTGGTACATTAACCCACAATGCTGGAGCTTATCTCTTTGATTCCTGCACCTATGAATTATGTAATAAAGAATTGGACACTGTCAGATATCCTGGAATAACGAGTACTGTGCGAGGATACTTGTGTTATACACCTGAAAACTCACGTCATCTAGCCATAGCAGGCTGGAACTATCCCAATGCTCTGATCCTCAACACCGATGGTACGTTGAGCATGAACATTCCACTGAAACATTTGTTTTCCATTTTCAATGATCATCAAGTGGCAACGTGGGGCAAGCAGTCAATCCGTTTAGTGAGAGCTCGCAATGATGCCAACAGTATGAAGGTTGTCGAGAGAGCGAATACTGCTTTGCCAGGATCTCCTCAGACTCAGAGTATTGCTAAAATAACGATAGAAAGCATCAATTTGAAAGTGCCACATCTCACACCCAACGATGACATGAAGTTGCAGTTGTTGACACGTATCAAAGCAGATGAGCCTATGATGATACCGTTCCGTCGATGGGAATTGCACGAGCTACCAGCACTCACACAAGGATCCACCATAGAAATCTGGTCCGTAAAGACATGTTCTGCATTGGACAGTCCAAGATATGTTATAGTATTTTTCCAAAAGAAAAAAGCCGATAATTTGCATGAAGACGTCACCTTGTTCGATAATGCCAACATCAAATCCATACGATTGGCTCTGAATAGCGACTATTATCCGCAAGAAAGAATGCTATTGGACTTTTCCAAAGACCAATATGCCGACGCCCACTTCAACAATACAGAGTTCAACAAGAGCTACCATAACTGTCAAGAAAAGCGCTCTCTAGTAAACTTTGCCGAATTCAAATCCCGACCAATTTTTGTTATCGATTTCTCGAGGCGCCATCTAGGTATGAAGTCGTCTACAGTTGAGATAAAGTTGGATATTGAAGCGACTACAGGCTTCCCTCCCGACACCAAAGACTATCGCATCATCATTCACGATCAAATCATGGAACTTCTCCCACTCAGCGAAATTGTTCGAAATATTGCCTAGTTAGGTGTTGCTGCATCAGTCAGACGTCAGTTTGCTTCGAAGAGTCATGGAGATCGCACTGGTTGACATTCAAGGGTTCATGAATGATGGTGAATCCATTCCAAAGGAAATGACCATTCGCATTGGCAAAAAGACGTGTCATTTTCTATTCAAGCCATCTGTAGAATTTTCCAGTTTAAGCAGAGAAGATAAAAAGATGGCAAATCATGTGGAGCGTTACGTTCATGGTTTAAAATATTCCAGTGGTTATGTGGATTTGAATGAGTTGGATCAAATACTACGAGATAACCTGCAGCAGACAAACATCATCCACGTGAGAGGCCATCAAAAGATTCAGTTTTTGCAGCGAAAATGTACAGAGTTGGAGATGACCAATCACATTGTTAATTTGGAAGATTTTGACAATTCTTGGTGGCAACCAATAACGTTTCAACAATCCATTCCACCTTGCATGAATCATTTCCATGGAGGAAGGTTCCAGTGCAGTCTCCACAATGTCGATACTTTATAAAATTGGTTATGTAATTTATTGCCAAAATAAAGAACTTTATATCGTAATTTCAGAGTTTTTATTCATCACATCCCTTATTTCTCAGTATAATGAAAATAACATGTGAGATTGAAATGAGTGAACATATTAGTGTACAACAAAGTGTCAAAACTGCAATGATATTGACAGTATCTTGATCATCATCTAATTTTGCGGAAGATTTCTTCAATGTAAATGTCTGCCAGTCTCCCATTTTGCCGTCACTGCCATCAGAAAACGATAATTTCAATTTGTAGTCGATGGTGGTCCCATTGACTCGAGGCATGTCGATTGAATATACAGGTAGTTTGTTATCGTTGACATACATTCTACTCATCAGCTTCCAATCACACTGTTGTGTACGATTCACATCAAAACATACGGCTGCATTCCTCGTATTGTACGGTATGTTTGTGTAGAAGACGTTGTTGCTCAGAGCTGTCAATAGAATGAAGCTTGCTTTCAGTATCGCCATCTAGTAGCTGTGTTGGTTGGATTCTTCTCGATGTAGGAAACGTTGCAACTGAACGTCTCGGTTCTGTGAACACCTTGTCCCAAACACTCAATTGCTCGAAATCTTTGAACAAACAAACTTTCTGCTCATACAATTGGATGTCTGCACTGAGCTTTCTAACTTTCAACCCAATTTTTTCTAGTGCACGTCTGTATTCGTCAGAAGACATGATACAACTGTTTTTTACATCCATACCTTCAACTAATATCCATCCAATCTCTCTCTCTCTCTCTCTCTCTCCTTTTCTATTTTCGTCTCTCTCTTTCTCTCTCTTTCTCGTACACATCATCCAGACAAGGGTGTGGGAAATGAATACACAGAAAAGTCAATTAATTGTAAAAGTGTATAATAGTATAAATGTAAAAAGGAATAATAAAAATGAAAAAAAAGTTTATACAATAAAATATGAATATTAGGAATAATTAGATAATACTAAAATAATTGAAAATATACATATATACAACATAAATTATTGGATGAATAAAATAAATATTGATGACTAATACAACAGCGTTGGTTTGAAAATTTAGATGCAAAAATACTAAATAGAAAATCAATCCGTCAAACTGTAGTGACCCCACGGAAGTGTGTCAAATGAATCGTGAATCAGTTTCCGCTTATCATCTTTGGGACTCAGGCCAATTTTAGTCTGCTCGATGGAAAAAACATCGTGAGCGTAGGAACGAATCGTTTGCTGGGCTACGGTCTTTTCTTTCCAAGCCGTCAGACAATCCACATAGTCATCAAAAGTCAACTTATTTTTGACAACACATTTCTTGACACCCTTGGATTTTTTATTAATACCGAAATTCTCCAATTCCCTATCTAGTCGTTCTTTACTGAACCCCTTTCTTCCCAATCGCTTTCTCTCTTTTTCAATATCCTCATCCGTTATATCCAATTTATAACTGTACATCTTGAACCGTAGTCCAGCAAAATGCGTAATAATCTTACCGTTTGCCTCATCCTTTAATAGGCCCAAGACTTTTTTATTTACTCGAGGTATACCATAAATATTGTCTGGAGCATAGTCAGACGTGTCAAATCTCTCGATATTTGCATCAATCACCTCACTATATGCATCGTCACATACAATTTCGTAGATGAAGCTGTCCGTATCGGTATACATGAGTTTTACGTCAGCTCCAAGCTTTGGTAACATGAAATTGTAGTGGAAATCATACATGACGATTTTCGATAAATCAAGAATAGCCATACCAATGTATAGGGGCTTGTTGAAAATCAGCTCTGCTTTTTTCAACTCTACTGCCACCAAATTGTCGTCGAAAACTGTCCGCTGTTGAAACCGAGGACTTGAAATTGAATTTTTAATGCCATAGCGGCCTTCATACATTCTGACTAACTTCACTGTTCTATGATTACGAATATTCTCCATCGTCTTCCCAAACACCGCATTATTGGCTAATTTCCTTAAATCTTTTTCAAAATCGTTTGTGGCTAGAGTCCTCAATCGAGTATTCAACTCGATGTAGGGCTTTAGCCACGTGGATTGTTTGAACTTTAATACTTTATGAATCTTGGTCAATTTCAGACCGTGTTCTAATGCCTGCTTCAAATTTCTGTAATGTAAAGTATATGACTTTTTATCGTACAGCGTGGTCATTAATTTGGATAATTTTGAATTTGGTGGTGTGCGATGTTCGAGACAAAATGGTAGGTCCTTGTGTAGGTCATGCAACCCCTCAGGATACTCCAAATCAACTTGGAGAATATAGCCTTCTGGACTGTTGTCAAGAATTTGGGTTACATCAATGTCAACATTTTCTACCCATGTAAAGCCCCCATAAGGGAGGGGTTCACTCATTGCTTTTCCATAAAAGTTATTTACATCGAGATAAAGAAGGTACTTTGACGGCTTTTTTGGATCATAATTTTTCTGATATTTATTGTTTGCTTCGCTATACCTATTGCAACAAACCGATACTCCTCCTCTTATCGCCTGCTCCACAAACATCACCATGTCGATATCTTTGATGATTTGCAGCTTGCACCCAGTATACTTGAGCACGCAGTCCCAAGTATAGCCGGGCATGGTGTAATACCAAGCAGGATCGAGGCCATAGGTCTTGAGGGATGACGCACGGAAATTTTCCATGATACTCCTTTTCGTGTCAACAATGCAAATTTCATCTCATGCACGTCACTGAATTTCTTCTTCAGGATTTTCAAATCATTAACTTTTAGCGTTGACACTAAAGCATCGAGACTGGTTCCCAAAAAGCGGAAAGAGTCGATGAATCGGAATTTTATGCTTGTTTCATCATCATGTTGTGTAAAGGGAATGTATTTTTCGCGATTAACCGGGAGTACGCTCACACGTCCCCGCTTGGAAATGTCTCTGATTATAAAATGTGAATCATATCCTGAGAGGTTGTGGAACGTAATGGGAACAACGAACAGTTTCCTAAAGTTGAGATTACAGGGAGCCTGGTGTGCGAAGCCTCTGAATGCGCCAGTAAAATGGTCATGGTTACGTACGATAACGTTTCAAATTCAGAATAAGACCGGTCTGCACTCTCGACGCGAAGATTGAATTAACATCAATCCAACGAATATAGGGCTTCAGGCCGGAGCCAACATGTCCTCTATTCATAGTTTTGATGAAAAATCTCATCCGTTTCAGTTCCCCGATCTTAGTCTGAATTTTACGCTTCAAACCAATCGAAAAAGTATTTTTTTTTCAATGCTAAAACACATTTCCGTATGTGTGAACGGATTGATTTCAATACAAAAAGTGCCAATGGTTTCGAATAATCTTTCTTAATTGATAAAAGAGTTTCGTCGACTTTGGTCAAGGTTTTATTGAAACTCTCCATTGCTGTATTGATGATATTTTACCCAAATGAAACAAATGTAGCTTACTTTAATTCCCCAAAATTTCAAACGAAGCTGCTGGATTGGCCTTCCCAGTCTGCACCTTTCCTCTGAATACCAAGGAATATTTCCCGCTACCGAAATATCCAATGTGGGGGGAATAGGTCTCAGTTACACGACTGGGCAGGAACACAACAGAGTCCTCCAACTCAATCAGAACAGATTTACCAAATTTTGTGGTGACCACTTTCGCTGTCTTGATTGGTTGGGGTTGACCGAGCAGGAGATCCACCAACTTCACGCTTGGTTTCTGTTGTTTTGAAGCAATCAGAGAAGCTGCGTTGATTTGAGTAAGAGAACTGTCACGGAAGTGTCAAGGAAGTGTCACGGAACTGTCACGGAAGTGTCCAGGAAGTGTCACGGAACTGTCACGGAAGTTGTCATGGAAGTGTCACGGAAGTATCACAGAAATGTCACACATGTTTTATTATGCCTGCCTCTTCTAATTCGTTCAAGATGGCAACAATCTCGTTATCGTTTGATGTATTTCCGGCTTGCTGTGATGCAATGAGCAACTTCAATCTATCTACCAATTCGTTTGGATCATCCCAATACATGTATTCGATAGGTGCTGTGTTGTATGTCAACTTCAAACCACGACCACTTGAGTTGGATCTGAACATTGGACGAATAATTTCTACGTATTTGAGTCTAGAGGAGGACTTCATACGTCCTGCAGAATTCAGATGAGCTTTGATGAGCAAGAGTATTTGCTTGTATGGGTTCGTATCATCTTTGGCAAAGGATGGATCATTATAGAAGAGTTATTGATAAGGTGCCGCGGAACCGAGAGCCATCAAGAAGTATATCTCCAGTTCTTCGATGGAAATTCATTTCTTTTCCGTTGAGAGACCATTTCGATGTTACTGGATCATATTTGGGACCATAAACCTCATCGATATTTTCATCATTTGTCCAGTATTCAGTCAGATATTTTTGAGCCATCGCAGGATACTGATCAACGTTATCATGTATTGCAGCCGGTGAGATATTTTCACTCTCTACAAAAAGTTCATCATCAGCATCGTCATAACCATCCTCATCATCATCATCAGTATGCCCAGCATTATCAGCCACATTCATCATAGGTTTGAAATTAGTTTGATTCAAATCCGATTGCTCCCTCTCCACCTCCCCATCCTCTTACTCCTTCTTCTCCTTCTTCTTCTCCTCCTTCTTCAACCCCAACGATTTTGCTCTACTTCGCTTGATGTTTGAAAGCGTTCCATCGAGTTTTTCTTCCATGACCTTGAACGCGGAGGCAATTTGTTTCAAAGGTGATGTCAGTGGTTGGAATATTTTCTGTAACGCATCATCATCTTCAGACTTGCCCAATTTTAGTGCTAAATATTTTCTTCTGATAGTTCGTTGATTTTTTTCTTGCGCAGCGCATCAGCAACATCATCATGCATCTTGGTTGACGTCATCTTGATGAATGGTCCAAAGATCACAGTCTTATGAACTTATCGAAACCATTTCTATATCTGCCAGCATTCATATCGAAAGTTTTTGCAATCACCATCGCACCATATTGGTTGGAATTCCAACACTCTGAGCACAATGCTTCAAATTGATCGAATGACATGTCTGGTGAGACATGCTCGTCGAACACATGCTTCAAATTCATTTCATCCTGTCGAAATAACACCAACAGGTTACTGTTGTCTCGCACCAGCTGCTTCGGTATCTTAGAAAAAGTCTGGCATAGGTATGCTACGTCAATATCCTTGTGTCTACACATTGAAAAATATTCTCGAATTTTTTGCTGCTTGTCGCATGATACATCATCAAAAATGAATATCGATTGATTTTTCGCTTCTGATGGACTAATGATCATTCTCTTTAAAGGGAAAATACCCAACACCTTTCACTGAATCCAACACTTGTTGCAGCAATTGATATTTCGGTTGGTACAACGACTTTGAATACACGTAAACGTTCTTGAATTTCGCGCCATTTGGATCGAACAGCAGGGAAAGCATCGCATTGGTCTTTCCACATCCGCTTGGTCCGCAGAAGATTGCTCTGAACGAATGGGGAAGCAGTTTCCCATTTTTACTATTTACTGGTGGTTTGGTTGACAAAATTTCATCCAAATTCACAATGGGTAACATCCGTTCTTGTTGAATGATCTTCATCATGTGATGATATATTTTTCATTTCATTAGGTATATGCAGAGTTGTCGAACTTCCTACACATCAGTCTTCATGTTGCTCTACCACGGAGAGGGTGTGCTTAATTCTCTGATCGATAAACTCCCCATCGAATTACACATTCCAGGCTACAGATTTTGTGGTCCAGGTACCAAACTCGATAAAAGACTTGCAAGAGGAGACACCGGTATCAATCCGTTGGACGACGCGTGTCGAGAACACGATATCGCCATTCACAAAATTCCTCAATAGAAGACAGACACAAAGCTGATTGGATATTGGAAAATAGAGCGTGGAAGAGAGTCAAGTCGAAGAACGCTAAATCCAAAGAGAAGGCTGCTGCTTGGCTTGTCACCACCGGAATGAAGGTCAAACGAAAACTTGGCATGGATCTTGTATCACAGCAATCCCTATCCAACATTATCAAATTCATAAAAAATGTACTATCAAAGTCAGATGGTGGTGGTGGTGGTGGTGGTGGTAGTACAACATCAGGAAGTGGTCTGAATAAATCTGCATTGAGAGCACTCCATGCAGCCAGAATGGCAATCAAGAGGGCTGGCGGTAAAAAAAGAATCAGAGTACCAAGAATCATACCTCTTCCACACAGTGGCGGTATACTACCATTGATACCAATCTTTGCCGCCTTGGGGGCCCTAGGATCTCTAGCTGGAGGAGCCGGAGCAGTCGCAAAGACAGTCATTGATGCGAAAAATGCAAAGAAAAAGCTCGAAGAAGATCAGAGGCATAATAAAGCAATGGAGGCTATCGGCAAGCAGGGTTTCAGCCTATTCCTACGCAAAACATCGAGAGGATTCGGACTGTACTTGAAGAAACAATCAAAAAACTCAAAAAACTTCTAGACAAGCTACCCAATAAATCAATGTACGATGAAGATGTGATAAAGTATGCCAAACAGCTGAAAATACCGTATTTTCGAGGTGTTTTTATGCGGGACACTCTACCTTCCACCGGTCCATGGCATCGCGAGTGTGCTGTATTGAATTTGGATACCTCCAATCATGTGGGCACTCATTGGGTGGCTTACATAAAAGATGATAAAAAAGCCTTATATTTCGATAGTTATGGTAATCTGAAATCGCCCAGAGAATTGGCGCAATATTTGGGTGCCAGCACGAAAATCTTGTACAATAACAATCAATACCAAAATTTCAATCAAAGTAATTGTGGACGTCTATGTTCAGAATTCCCTTTTAATGAGACCAAGTAACTCGGTCATTGTGCATCAGTCATGTCTCTGATCGTGACGTTGAAAGGTCGTACATCTACGCTCTCCATAGACTTTTTGACACCACTTCAACTCGATCCAGACTCTGATTACGGACTAGCATTGTTGGGATTCCATTCATACAACAGTATACCAAATATCGACAAAGGATCAAAGTTTTATCTGCAAGATAAGACCAAGGCGGGAAAGATCATCGATATTCCCGAAGGTTCATACGACATTGTGGACATTGAGAAATTCATACGCAAAGAATTGGGCATCTCAAGTGCAAAGGACGTTGATGATATATTCTCGTTGAAGCCCAACAATAATACACTAAAGTGTGAGATTTCGAGCAAACAGTTTGTCATAGATTTTCGTCCGAAGGATAGCATAGCTCAAGTCTTGCGATTTTCAAATAGATTGTTGAACGCACAAGAAGTCCACACTTCCGATTTGCCGGTCAGCATAACCAAAGTGAGAACCATTCACATTGATAGCAACGTTACTGCTGGAGCTCTCTACAACGACAGACCATCACATACGATCTACGAGTTTGCAGTTGCAGTCGATCCTGGTTACGCCATAGACGAGACTCCCAGAAATCTAATGTATCTACCTATAGTCAGCAGGCGGGAATTGCCCAACATTACGCTCCAGATTCTAGACCAAGATTTCAGGCAGGTGAATTTTAGAGGTGAAGAAATCATCATAAGATTGGAATTGAAGAAACTCGCAAGATGGTACTAGTGTTTGATTACTCCTATAAATCAGATAATATACCATCATCAACAACATCATCGGCACCAGTTCTCTCGACACCGTACACCAAAGCAGTCGTGTCTTCGAAGAGCAGCAACAGAAAAACATTGACATTATCCAGTGTCCTGTTTCTGAAATCACTCAAAGACTACAATGTTGTTAGCACCCGTGTTCGACGTTTTCCGCAAACTCAGATTCGACGAAAGCATCACTAGAGTGGAATGGCGTACCTATTATCCATATGTGAAATCATTCGAGAACAATGATGTCATCGATATAGCGGTTAATCAAGCAGATTCGTGGTTGGCCATGTTTGAAGGTATCATTACCATCAAGGGTAAATTGAAGGTGACCGGTGGTGGTACTGGTACATTAACCCACAATGCTGGAGCTTATCTCTTTGATTCCTGCACCTATGAATTATGTAATAAAGAATTGGACACTGTCAGATATCCTGGAATAACGAGTACTGTGCGAGGATACTTGTGTTATACACCTGAAGACTCACGTCATCTAGCCATAGCAGGCTGGAACTATCCCAATGCTCTGATCCTCAACACCGATGGTACGTTGAGCATGAACATTCCACTGAAACATTTGTTTTCCATTTTCAATGATCATCAAGTGGCAACGTGGGGCAAGCAGTCAATCCGTTTAGTGAGAGCTCGCAATGATGCCAACAGTGTGAAGGTTGTCGAGAGAGCGAATACTGCTTTGCCAGGATCTCCTCAGACTCAGAGTATTGCTAAAATAACGATAGAAAGCATCAATTTGAAAGTGCCACATCTCACACCCAACGATGACATGAAGTTGCAGTTGTTGACACGTATCAAAGCAGATGAGCCTATGATGATACCGTTCCGTCGATGGGAATTGCACGAGCTACCAGCACTCACACAAGGATCCACCATAGAAATCTGGTCCGTAAAGACATGTTCTGCATTGGACAGTCCAAGATATGTTATAGTATTTTTCCAAAAGAAAAAAGCCGATAATTTGCATGAAGACGTCACCTTGTTCGATAATGCCAACATCAAATCCATACGATTGGCTCTGAATAGCGACTATTATCCGCAAGAAAGAATGCTATTGGACTTTTCCAAAGACCAATATGCCGACGCCCACTTCAACAATACAGAGTTCAACAAGAGCTACCATAACTGTCAAGAAAAGCGCTCTCTAGTAAACTTTGCCGAATTCAAATCCCGACCAATTTTTGTTATCGATTTCTCGAGGCGCCATCTAGGTATGAAGTCGTCTACAGTTGAGATAAAGTTGGACATTGAAGCGACTACAGGCTTCCCTCCCGACACCAAAGACTATTGCATCATCATTCACGATCAAATCATGGAACTTCTCCCACTCAGCGAAATTGTTCGAAATATTGCCTAGTTAGGTGTTGCTGCATCAGTCAGACGTCAGTTTGCTTCGAAGAGTCATGGAGATCGCACTGGTTGACATTCAAGGGTTCATGAATGATGGTGAATCCATTCCAAAGGAAATGACCATTCGCATTGGCAAAAAGACGTGTCATTTTCTATTCAAGCCATCTGTAGAATTTTCCAGTTTGAGCAGAGAAGATAAAAAGATGGCAAATCATGTGGAGCGTTACGTTCATGGTTTAAAATATTCCAGTGGTTATGTGGATTTGAATGAGTTGGATCAAATACTACGAGATAACCTGCAGCAGACAAACATCATCTACGTAAGAGGCCATCAAAAGATTCAGTTTTTGCAGCGAAAATGTACAGAGTTGGAGATGACCAATCACATTGTTAATTTGGAAGATTTTGACAATTCTTGGTGGCAACCAATAACGTTTCAACAATCCATTCCACCTTGCATGAATCATTTCCATGGAGGAAGGTTCCAGTGCAGTCTCCACAATGTCGATACTTTATAAAATTGGTTATGTAATTTATTGCCAAAATAAAGAACTTTATATCGTAATTTCAGAGTTTTTATTCATCACATCCCTTATTTCTCAGTATAATGAAAATAACATGTGAGATTGAAATGAGTGAACATATTAGTGTACAACAAAGTGTCAAAACTGCAATGATATTGACAGTATCTTGATCATCATCTAATTTTGCGGAAGATTTCTTCAATGTAAATGTCTGCCAGTCTCCCATTTTTCCGTCACTGCCATCAGAAAACGATAATTTCAATTTGTAGTCGATGGTGGTCCCATTGACTCGAGGCATGTCGATTGAATATACAGGTAGTTTGTTATCGTTGACATACATTCTACTCATCAGCTTCCAATCACACTGTTGTGTACGATTCACATCAAAACATACGGCTGCATTCCTCGTATTGTACGGTATGTTTGTGTAGAAGACGTTGTTGCTCAGAGCTGTCAATAGAATGAAGCTTGCTTTCAGTATCGCCATCTAGTAGCTGTGTTGGTTGGATTCTTCTCGATGTAGGAAACGTTGCAACTGAACGTCTCGGTTCTGTGAACACCTTGTCCCAAACACTCAATTGCTCGAAATCTTTGAACAAACAAACTTTCTGCTCATACAATTGGATGTCTGCACTGAGCTTTCTAACTTTCAACCCAATTTTTTCTAGTGCACGTCTGTATTCGTCAGAAGACATGATACAACTGTTTTTTACATCCATACCTTCAACTAATATCCATCCAATCTCTCTCTCTCTCTCTCTCTCCTTTTCTATTTTCGTCTCTCTCTTTCTCTCTCTTTCTCTTACACATCATCCAGACAAGGGTGTGGGAAATGAATACACAGAAAAGTCAATTAATTGTAAAAGTGTATAATAGTATAAATGTAAAAAGGAATAATAAAAATAAAAAAAAAGTTTATACAATAAAATATGAATATTAGGAATAATTAGATAATACTAAAATAATTGAAAATATACATATATACAACATAAATTATTGGATGAATAAAATAAGTATTGATGACTAATACAACAGCGTTGGTTTGAAAATTTAGATGCAAAAATACTAAATAGAAAATCAATCCGTCAAACTGTAGTGACCCCACGGAAGTGTGTCAAATGAATCGTGAATCAGTTTCCGCTTATCATCTTTGGGACTCAGGCCAATTTTAGTCTGCTCGATGAAAAAAACATCGTGAGCGTAGGAACGAATCGTTTGCTGGGCTACGGTCTTTTCTTTCCAAGCCGTCAGACAATCCACATAGTCATCAAAAGTCAACTTATTTTTGACAACACATTTCTTAACACCCTTGGATTTTTTATTAATACCGAAATTCTCCAATTCCCTATCTAGTCGTTCTTTACTGAACCCCTTTCTTCCCAATCGCTTTCTCTCTTTTTCAATATCCTCATCCGTTATATCCAATTTATAACTGTACATCTTGGACCGTAGTCCAGCAAAATGCGTAATAATCTTACCGTTTGCCTCATCCTTTAATAGGCCCAAGACTTTTTTATTTACTCGAGGTATACCATAAATATTGTCTGGAGCATAGTCAGACGTGTCAAATCTCTCGATATTTGCATCAATCACCTCACTATATGCATCGTCACATACAATTTCGTAGATGAAGCTGTCCGTATCGGTATACATGAGTTTTACGTCAGCTCCAAGCTTTGGTAACATGAAATTGTAGTGGAAATCATACATGACGATTTTCGATAAATCAAGAATAGCCATACCAATGTATAGGGGCTTGTTGAAAATCAGCTCTGCTTTTTTCAACTCTACTGCCACCAAATTGTCGTCGAAAACTGTCCGCTGTTGAAACCGAGGACTTGAAATTGAATTTTTAATGCCATAGCGGCCTTCATACATTCTGACTAACTTCACTGTTCTATGATTACGAATATTCTCCATCGTCTTCCCAAACACCGCATTATTGGCTAATTTCCTTAAATCTTTTTCAAAATCGTTTGTGGCTAGAGTCCTCAATCGAGTATTCAACTCGATGTAGGGCTTTAGCCACGTGGATTGTTTGAACTTTAATACTTTATGAATCTTGGTCAATTTCAGACCGTGTTCTAATGCCTGCTTCAAATTTCTGTAATGTAAAGTATATGACTTTTTATCGTACAGCGTGGTCATTAATTTGGATAATTTTGAATTTGGTGGTGTGCGATGTTCGAGACAAAATGGTAGGTCCTTGTGTAGGTCATGCAACCCCTCAGGATACTCCAAATCAACTTGGAGAATATAGCCTTCTGGACTGTTGTCAAGAATTTGGGTTACATCAATGTCAACATTTTCTACCCATGTAAAGCCCCCATAAGGGAGGGGTTCACTCATTGCTTTTCCATAAAAGTTATTTACATCGAGATAAAGAAGGTACTTTGACGGCTTTTTTGGATCATAATTTTTCTGATATTTATTGTTTGCTTCGCTATACCTATTGCAACAAACCGATACTCCTCCTCTTATCGCCTGCTCCACAAACATCACCATGTCGATATCTTTGATGATTTGCAGCTTGCACCCAGTATACTTGAGCATGCAGTCCCAAGTATAGCCGGGCATGGTGTAATACCAAGCAGGATCGAGGCCATAGGTCTTGAGGGATGACGCACGGAAATTTTCCATGATACTCCTTTTCGTGTCAACAATGCAAATTTCATCTCATGCACGTCACTGAATTTCTTCTTCAGGATTTTCAAATCATTAACTTTTAGCGTTGACACTAAAGCATCGAGACTGGTTCCCAAAAAGCGGAAAGAGTCGATGAATCGGAATTTTATGCTTGTTTCATCATCATGTTGTGTAAAGGAAATGTATTTTTCGCGATTAACCGGGAGTACGCTCACACGTCCCCGCTTGGAAATGTCTCTGATTATAAAATGTGAATCATATCCTGAGAGGTTGTGGAACGTAATGGGAACAACGAACAGTTTCCTAAAGTTGAGATTACAGGGAGCCTGGTGTGCGAAGCCTCTGAATGCGCCAGTAAAATGGTCATGGTTACGTACGATAACGTCTCAAATTCAGAATAAGACCGGTCTGCACTCTCGACGCGAAGATTGAATTAACATCAATCCAACGAATATAGGGCTTCAGGCCGGAGCCAACATGTCCTCTATTCATAGTTTTGATGAAAAATCTCATCCGTTTCAGTTCCCCGATCTTAGTCTGAATTTTACGCTTCAAACCAATTGAAAAAGTATTTTTTTTCAATGCTAAAACACATTTCCGTATGTGTGAACGGATTGATTTCAATACAAAAAGTGCCAATGGTTTCGAATAATCTTTCTTAATTGATAAAAGAGTTTCGTCGACTTTGGTCAAGGTTTTATTGAAACTCTCCATTGCTGTATTGATGATATTTTACCCAAATGAAACAAATGTAGCTTACTTTAATTCCCCAAAATTTCAAACGAAGCTGCTGGATTGGCCTTCCCAGTCTGCACCTTTCCTCTAAATACCAAGGAATATTTCCCGCTACCGAAATATTCAATGTGGGGGGAATAGGTCTCAGTTACACGACTGGGCAGGAACACAACAGAGTCCTCCAACTCAATCAGAACAGATTTACCAAATTTTGTGGTGACCACTTTCGCTGTCTTGATTGGTTGGGGTTGACCGAGCAGGAGATCCACCAACTTCACGCTTGGTTTCTGTTGTTTTGAAGCAATCAGAGAAGTTGCGTTGATTTGAGTAAGATCCATCTGGTGGAAAGAAAAAGGACACAAAACATCAGCAGTCCAACAAAGTCATGATGAGCTTGATACTAGGATGGATTATTTTCGATAAAACTAGAAATGAAATCAATCTGCGATTGATCATTGACACTTCCATTGAATTGTCTCTCGAAAAAACTTGGAATAAAAAAGGTTGATGCGGAATGAGCAATAGGTTGTATTATTCTCAAAATGAAATGAAAGGGACCGATAATATAAAATTCGAGAAAGGAATGGGCACTGAATGAATAATTTGCAATGAAACTTAAAATAAAACTGAGAAACTCAAAATGCGATAAAAAAGTTGGATAATATAGGATTGAGAATATAAATACGCACTTTGATAAAAAAGAGGTACTTACTATTATTGCTATTAATGCACACACACACACACACACACAAACAGTGATGATTTGGCTGGAGCTGGTCAAGAGACAACGTTCACGATTGCAGACTCGAGTGTGAATGATGTTGTGCGGCGTCATCGCTTTTATACGCTGGCAGAGTTACCTCGTGACTTGCTGATAGTAGACGCGGATGTTCTGGAAAAACCCATCCGAAACGACTACTGATAGCAATAATTTCTTGCGTCAATCTGATAACGTATTTTGTTTATGCGACTAGTTGGATTTTTTGTGGTTTTGATAACCTCCAACGTTTCCTGTGATGCTGCTGATTGTGAAATTGTTGGGTTTTTTGTAGTTTCGATAACCTTCAACGTTTCCTGTTATGCTGCTGATTGCGAAATTTGTTGTTGGGTTTTTTGTGGTTTTGATAACCTCCAACCTTATCTGTTATGCTGTTGATTGTGAAATTTGCTGTCACTGCACACGTGTAGAGATAAGCGCGCGCCAGCGATGGATATTATTTTCGACTCGAAGTTTCTTATCTCTGGAATGCATATCTCGCTTCACTCTACCTCGATAGATCCGTTACGAAGATAAGCGCGCGCCAGCGATGGATATTATTTTCGACTCGAAGTTTCTTATCTCTGGAATGCATCTCTCGCTTCACTCTACCTCGATAGATCCGTTACAAAGATAAGCGCGCGCCAGCGATGGATATTATTTTCGACTCGAAGTTTCTTATCTCTGGAATGCATCTCTCGCTTCACTTTACCTCGATAGATCCGTTGCAAAGATAAGCGCGCGCCAGCGATGGATATTATTTTCGACTCGAAGTTTCTTATCTCTGGAATGCATCTCTCGCTTCACTCTACCTCGATGGATCCGTTGCAAAGATAAGCGCGCGCCAGCGATGGATATCCTGTTTGAATAGCATTAAAATAATTGGAATATCACAGAGGTCGAAATACCACAGTGCGTATATACGATGCCTCATAATGCAAAGGTCCCTGGTTCAATTCCCCCCAGCGGTGACAGCTTTTTTTAATTTATTTATTCACGATGGCGACGTATATGAATAATTTGAATTTCGCGCTGGTTTTTAGTGGGCGTGGCCTCCAACCAAATGCTGGCCTCTGATTGGCTTGCCCTGGTACATACATAGCCCTCCTACTAGTCGGTTATATGCGGTTTGTAGTAGCATTTTTTCATTTCTTCTTGACACGTCAGAGGGTTTCATTTTTATAGTCCTGTGTGTTGTGTTGTTATATTTTCCAACGATTCTCTCCAGTAATTCTACTCATTTGTAGTTCCCCTGTAAACTGAATCCTTTCCACATCATATTTTTCAATGTCCGGTTGACTCGTTCTACAATAGATGCCTTTTTCTTGCTGAATGTGTTGTAATGATGCACACCATATTTCTTCATGAGATTTTTGAATTCCTTATTGAAAAATTCAGTGCCTTCATCTGTTTGTGGATTGTGAGGACACTGCTCTTTGAGAATGATTTCCATGACATTACTCACTTCTACGCCCAAACGAATTTCGAGAAGCAATTTATCACAACCAATATATATTTGTAACCCTGGTTCTCACAGGCATATGGTATCATTTCCACCAAATCGGCTTGAAAAAGATCATCGAGGCCTTTGATGATGACTTAACGTCTTTTGAAATTGATTCTTGCTGGTTTATGGATCTCTTCAACCACTTGTTTTTCAGCGATTGTTGCCATTCTCTCTTCATGCAATGATATGAGCTTCACGCAACTCCTCAACGATAGAGTTTATTTCATTGGTATGACCATTGTGCCCTACTGACTTCGAAGCCAACAGTAATCGTAATCTGTCACAAAGCTCATTTGGATCATCCCATCTAATGAAATCTATCTTATTGTTAGTCACCTCCATTAACATTCCTTTACCAACGGAGGAAGAACTCGTGATTGGAGCAATAATTTTTCTATACTTTTGTAGCTTACTACCATCCACTTGCTTATTTGCCTTGTAATATCTCCGATGGGCATTATTTTTCGTCACTATCTGCTTATAATTTTGCTCATTCTCCCTGGTGAAATCATGAGGGTCTTTCTTGAACAATAGTTCATATAAACCTTGAGTACCTTTGTACCTCTTATTCTTGAGAATTACATCGGATCCTTCGATGTATATTCTAGAATCACCAATCATGAGTTTTTCAGTATTCCTGTTTAATCTCACTCCATACTCATGATCAAACTCTTTGTTATCCTCATCTTGATACATACTATTGATATATTCTCTAGGTAGATGTTTAAATAGTCGACATACGATTCTTGTGTAATATCCATGAGGCGTGAAACTTCGTCGGCAGATGGTTTTCCTAGCTGTTCATTTCCCTCATCAGATTTGATATCCTCTAAAATTGATTGTTTCAACTCACTAGGTCCATCATCATCATCATCATTATCATCATCACCCCCATACTCATCCTCAATATTAGGTTCTTCATTTTTCAAATCTGCTGGTGTGAGGAGTTGCAAGAATAGTCGGCGGGGGATTTTAGGCTTACTCTTCTGCTCTACAATATTCTTAGGTGTCTCATAGTTTAGTGAATTCCTCTTCGGTTTCATCATGAATGGTGATTTGAAGGAATCGAGTTGTTCTGCAGCATTTTTCTGATATGGAATTTGTTGTTGTTGTTGTTGCTGACCAGTACTCTGTAATGTATTTTCGATACTTTTCAGGTGTTTTGTAATAGGATTGAACATATTCTCATGCACCATTTCTCCATGCTTCAAAATATCCAATTCATCTCTCACCGTTTTACGTTTAGCTATCAACCTCTTTTTGATTTCCTTCTCATTCGACTTCATTTCTTTGTTTGTTCACCAGGTTAGCATGAGGTATCTCATCTGCTTCTGATCAGCTCTAATCAGCTTCGATCGGGTATCTGATCAGCTCTGATCAGCTTCGATCAGGTATCTGATCAGCTTCGATCTGGTATCTGATCAGCTTCGATCGGGTACCTGATCAGCTTTGATCGGGTGCCTGCTCAGCTTAACCCTTTCGGTCCCGATTTTTTTTATTCGGAATGAAATTATGGAATTTGGTACATAATATCTTTATTTTTTTTTAATATTTTTAGTTTTTGTTAAAAAATCCTATCTCTACCCAATTTTGACATTTGATATGTACACTGTAGTGTACACTGGGACTTAACGGAATCATAACACCCAATGCAAAAAAATTGAAAAAATATCAATCTTTATGATTTCTTGAAATATTAGCAATAAGAAATTCCAAATACTTATTGAGTTTTTATTTTCTAGTATGATATAGCAAAAAACGATTTTGTTTTTTCGCAATACATAAATGTACATTACATTTTTGACACATATGAGTTCTGCTCTAACATTGGGGAAATTTGCAACGGGATGCAAAGCTTTTATCATCAATTGTAGGTAAATGATTGTAGCCATCTAATCGGACTCCATCCACAGGCTGTACTTCCTAACAATTTCAAACAAATCTTCTGGTAAATGAGAATCAATCTCCCATCCCTCATTATCTTCGCTCAGAATGTCAAGGTCTGAGTCATTGTTTTCCAAATACTCAACAAGCTCTTCATATGAAAGCGGTCTTTTACTCATTTTGAAGAAATAATACTGAAAAAATACCCTATTTATAAACTCTCAAGATCTGGGTTAGGTATATTTTCTCACTTCACCAAGACCCGATGTACACGATAGTGTACGTGTCTATATTTGGTGAGAAATCAAAAAATAAAATCACCGAAGCACTAACTAAAATTTCAGACAGTCTGTTTGAACTGTTGTTCATAACTGAAAAAGTATACAACTCTAATTATCCAAGCTTACAGAGACAAAAAAAATACTGAACAAATTCCTTCTTGTCGATTCCGCTAGAAACATGATTCCACGACAATGAAATCTGCAATTTTCATTTCTGTACCCACAGATGGCACAACACGTATTATAAAGTTATTACGCTATACACTTTGGTGTATGCTGGGGCGCAATAGTCATAAACATGATATTTTTTTTCTTAGAAGAGATCTGAATTGGCGTGCACTACAGTGTACGCCAGGACCGAAAGGGTTAAATCGGTTATCTGATCAGCTCTGATCGGTATCGATCAGGTTGGAGGGTACAATATTGAGACTTCACCTTTATATGAGTATGAAATTATCAATTCCTTACCGATAACGACCTTCATTGACCTTTAAATCTTTGAATATAGATAGAAAACCATATGGATCCTTCCATCATAACGAATACATACTTTTGAATCTATCGAATGTCATATCTGACCCCACATGGTCTGCATAAATGTGACGTAAATTCATATCATCCATTTTGAATAAAATCAAGGAGTTACAGTTGTCTCTGATCAGGTGTTAAGGGATTTTAGCGTAGCTCTGATTCAGGTAAAAAGGGTCTACTAATGCATGTCTAGACATACTGGAGTATTCACGAATTACTTCTTGGTTGTCACATGTAACATCATCGAATATGAATATCGAATTCGGTTTAGCCTCTGACGGATGCATAATACTATCACTGGCACTGAATGCATAATATCCCATACCCTTCATTGGTTTGATCAATTCCTCTAGATATTTATATTTCGGTTGATATAAAGATTCAGAGTACACATAAATATTCTCAAATTTCAATCCATTCTTATGTTCGAGAAGATTGATCATAACATTGGTTTAACCGCATTTCGAAGGACCCACAATAATACACCTCATTGTATGTGGAAACAAAATTCCATGTTTTTTGAATTTCTCATCTTCCTCGAATATATTATTTTCAATATTCAGAGTCGTTTTTTGTGGAACAACTTTCATTTCATGAATAAAAAATAGTTTATCTCCGACATTCAATGATCAGTTGCTTTCTGTATTTCACTGAATAAACACACACACACACACACACACACACACAAATGCCACGCTACTATTCAAGTGATGGGCTTTTGAATACTGCCATGAATAAACTACCTTTCGAGTTACATATACCTGGTGGATATAGATTCTGTGGTCCTGGAATAAAATTGGAAAAAAGACTCGCTCGAGGAGATAAAGGTATAAATGAATTAGATGAAGCTTGCAAGGAACATGATATAGCATATTCCAAAGAAAAAGATTTGAAACATCGTCATGAAGCAGATAGAATTCTGGCAGACAAGGCAATGGCTCGATTCAGATTGAAGAATAATTCCTATGGACAGAGATTAGCAGCTTTAGGCGTTGCTGGTGCTATGAAAGCTAAAGTGAAATTGGGAATGGGAATAGGAGATCAAAAACAAAATCAAAAACGAGAACAACAAGCTGTCAATAAATGTCTGGTAGTTCTAAGAAGAACGGAGGTTATTTTAGAAAAATCTCTAGGAAATATTGAAAGCAGTATGCGAATCCTGAAAGAAGGAATTTCAACAAATAGAATTGTCAAACAAACTAAACGGATAGCACAACATAAAAAAAAGAATAAAAAGAAGAAATCACAGAATGATGATGACGATGATGAAGGAAAGAATGACTTGATGGATATCGATATTGCTGACGATTATCCCATGAATAAAAGATGTGCAAACAAGAGGGAATCGGATAACGATGATATCTCAGACACTATTCCTGATAAGAAGCCTGGAAATGTGGTCGGTGATATGATCAACCGTAGACAAGGGATAAAGGCGAAAAGGAGATTGAGAACATTAGATGATAAGGGGGACACTCATTCAAGTGATATGAGTGAACCATTAGATATCACAACAACAAATTCTAGAAAGAGAAGTTTGGATACAGAGATAGAAGAGGAAGATAGCAACGATCTCGGAAATAAGAAACTCAAATTCACCTAATTTTCATAAGGATTGAAAGGAAAAGTCAGTAAACGAGAGAGTTTCCTACAGTTCAGATGGCTCGCAAGAGATCCAAAGGGAATACTAAACGTAGAAATAATAAAAATAGGAATATCAAGAAGAAACTAATAAAAAAGGGGGTATGCTTCGCCAAAGCAATCGGACAAATTGAATAGCATATTATCTCTCAAAAACCTAAGACTGTAGGTGATGCAGTCAAGGTTGCTTTAAGGTCAACGAAAAAACTCAACATAAAACCAACACGTATTGTTAAAATTCCAAAGAGGGGTGGCTTGATACCCTTGATTCCGATTTTCGCGGGATTGAGTGTTCTCGGGGCAATCACAGGTGGCGCTGCAGGTGTAGCTAAGGCTGTCTCTAATGCCAGATCAGGAAAGAATTAATTGAAAGAATCCCAACGACATAATAAAACAATGGAAGCTATTGCAATGGGAAAAGGAATGTATTTGAGACCATATAAAACTGGTTTGGGACTTTTTTTGAAATAACCATCCTAGTATTATCCTAATATCAACAAGATGAGGATGAATAAACATAGGGAATCTTGTAAAAGGATACCACTCAATTTCCCACTATCCAATTTGGATATTCTGAAGAACGTTAAAGAACTCAACATTCCCCATTTTAGGGGTGTATTCATGAGGAATGATCTTCCCAAGAGAATCAGAAGGAAAGAACGTGGCGTGATGAACTTGGATAACAAAGATGGACCGGGGACGCATTGGACCGCCTACAAAAAAATTGGATCACAAATCGTCTATTTTGATAGCTATGGTAATCTGCGACCACCACTGGAAACTTTAGATTACTTCAATTCCAATGGACCTTGTAATATTTTATATAATCACACTGTATATCAAACTTTCAATTCTGTGAATTGCGGTCAGTTATGTTTGAAATTTCTCTCTCAATAAAATATAAGCGTAATTTATCTCATTCTTTCAATGACTCTATCACTATCATGACGTGTTCATATAGTTCCACCTTATCAGCCAGAGATTCTGTATTATCAGCTAAAATCGATCCACCTATCATTTTAGATGATGATAAACCCATGTCGTAGGTCTGATTGACTTCGTGACCTACAACACTATCCCCAATATTGATGGGAAAAATAACAGATTCTATGTTGGCAAACCCACATTGGTTATTCCTGAAGGTTCCTATGAAATTGAAGACATTGAACGGAATATTATGATGCAATTGAATGAATTGCATGAAAAAAATAGAGAGAAGGAGGGAAAAAAAGCTCAAACTTCGAATACTATCATAAAAGAAGAGGAGAAAACTACCGAGATTCAGCTCAAATTGAATGCTAATTATAATACTCTAAGGTATGAGATAACATGCAACAAACTCATACACTTTGATAAACCTAACTCGATAGCAACTCTGTTAGGTTTCAGCAAGAGGAAATTGGAAGCTAATAAAAAACATATATCAGATTTTCCAATTTCCAAGGTGAATTCAGTGTGTGTTTGTGTGGATGTAATTCAACAACAAATTCATATAATAATTACTCTTCCGTTCACACATTGCACATGTTCTATTCAGGTAGATAACACTTTATCGTTTGATGAACATTTTGAGTATATTCATAAGAAAATTTCAAAGAAATTATTCTTTTTCTCCAGAATTTCCAATAATCTTTCAACAGAGTCAAGAATCACAGTTTACAATTCAATTGTTCAGCCACACTTTGACTACTGTTCATCTATCCTATATCTATTCAATCAGAATAAATTGTCTCAACTCCAAAAACTTCAGAATCGTAGTATGAGGATCATTTTGAAGTGCGGTAGAGATACTTCAATTACTATTATGCTTAATGTTTTGAATTGGCAATCTGTTTCTCAAAGACTGTTTTATTTCACAATGATATTCATATATAAAATATTAAACAATTTAGGACCATCTTATTTCAAACAGTACATTGTCTTCCATCATGATATTCACCACTACTTCACTCGAAATAATAATAATTTATATATAAATAGAACAAATCACAAAAGCACTATGATCTCTTTATTTTTCAAGGGTTTTGATCAATTCAACAGATTACCAAATGCAATTAAAAATAGCCCATCTCTGAACATTTTCAAAAACGAACTGAAGAAATGTCTGTCTAATGTACATATATGATATTTATTATGTTTGTTACGTGTAGCTACAATTTTTGTTTTGAGATATTATTATGCTTGTGTTCAACTAACTTTATAATGTATTCATCCAATGTTTGTCATATATTTTAAATCATTTTAATATGTACCACATACCTATTTTACTTTATACTTTTTAGCTTGTTTGTATACTAGGATATCCTATTTCAATAAAGATCTATCTATTCATCAGTGCCTAGTGAATTTCGAATAGTGGAGTGATAGTAAATACCCCTTTTAACGACGGCAGTATTTATTAATCTGACCATAATACATAAAATATCCCTCTCACGCACAGATTCAACCTTTCGATGATTGACAACAGAATTAATAAATTATATTTCAAAAGTGACATCCGCTCTCAAAATGCCAAAATACGGGATGTTGTCAATGATATTGAATAAAATACCTAACACTCGGCCCTTCCTGACACTATGAGTGTCCTCACTCATCCATCTGTCATTCATCATAAGAAAATAAATCAATTCGCAGATTGATTCTAACAACTACAACTATAACTGACAGTGCCAATAAAATAGCACAATTCTCAGCAACGCAGGCCGGTTTAACTATAATCTAAAATTCGTCAAATCATTATAATACAAAATCGAGTAAACGATTTGGCAATTTAGTAACACGCTTGGGCCTTTCTTTGGCCCGCACATCAACTTCACTACACTTGTCTTCTTCATTTTCCTCTTGTTCTTGTTTACTTTCTCTTCTCACCTGTAGTTGCTCGTCTTCGCTAACTACAGCGTGATAGTCTTCATTTTCTTCCATACCTCCATTCTCTTCTTGTCGAAACTCATATCCTCTTCCTGTACTTTCCTTTTCCTCATCTTCTGATTCTTCATGATTTGCATATGATTTCAATTGTGAAACGTGTGCAGTGGTAACGAACTTTTGACCAGAGTCCAGGCTATGTAAACGATACGTATCACTGGGTAATATTTCTATAACTCTATATGGTTCTTTATACTTTGGTTTCAACTTATTCGATTCACCCGGTATTGTTCTTGTACCTCGAACGAATACTATTTCTCCGGCATCATAATTCAATCCAATGAATCGCTTTTTGTCGTACCGATCCTTATACTTTTTCTGTTCTTCAACAATTCTCTCTCTTATTTTCGTTTGTATTCCTTCAGCAGGAGTCCACTCTATTTCTCCTACTCTTGCTGCCAATTCATCTTTTCCGAAACTAGGTAGATAACCATGGAGTATTTCGAAAGGACCTTTTCCAATCGTTTTATTATGGAACGTGTTCAGGCTCCTCTCTGTTTTATTCAAAATATTGTCCCATTTGTCTTCACTTTTTACAGTAGTAGCCATTGCAGACAGAAGAGTCCGATTAACTCTTTCTACCTGCCCGTTTGCTTGAGACCAACGACTAGAATTGAGCGTATGGTGCATATTCAGACCTCTACAAAATTCACCAAAATCTTTCAAAGTGAAACAGGTTACTCGATCTGTAACCAATAATTTCGAAATTCCAAACAATCCGAAGAAGTTCTCAAACTTTTTGGTGTTGATTGTTGTTGATGTATCTCTCACAGCATACAACTTGACATATTTTGTTAATGCGCATACAATCAACAAAACATAACAATTATTACCTCTTCTCGAATTCACGAAAGGACCCAGATGATCGGCATGAATCCTTTCAAATAGTCTCTTTGAAGGATAAATTGGATGGAGTTTCCCTGGCTGTCTTTTTTTTTCCTTCTGTAGTCTACTACAAGTCGATCTCCTCCGTTTTTCTTTGATACAAGAATCACGGGACTCGCATATGTATCAGTGTCTGTTACGATACCGCACTCGCGCCATTCCATTACAATGTCCGCTATTTCAGTACGTTCTGAAAGACTTGCACGATATGGCTTGCATACTACTGGTTCATTATTGTCTACTATGTCCATACGAATCAGATCTGTGCAACCCAATTCTGACAAATTGAATGAAAAGCAATCTCGATATTAATTGAAAAGGTTAACTAACCTGACCCTAGGCTCTGGTTCGATACCTGATTCCATATCAATCATATCTTTAGTGATCAATTCCATTCCAGTGTCTACTCCACTGATGTGTGAAGAAATTCTTCCCAGCTCCTGCATCTTCTTGACTCGACAGCTAGAACCTCCTTGATTCTCCAGCGGAACGCAGACTTGTTCTCCTCCCATTGCCGCAGTCACAAGGATCACAGAGTTTGCTGGAATATCCACAACTTCATCCGCAGCCAATGAAATTGATTCACCAGCTCCATCTTGAATCATCTCAGGAAATGGCAATTCATCCTTCCATAGGAACTTCAAGGTTTTGCCAACTCGGACATATCCCAAACAATCTTGTTCAGTAAAAGTGCGCCCTAGTATAACGTCTATACTTTGAGCAGAATTCGGGACAACATGCATTGCCACGTTAGAGACTTTGATGTTATCGATTTCCAAAAATTCTCGTACGGCTTCTGAACTTTGAACAGATTTTCCTTCAAAACCAGACAAAACTATCGAATCATTTTCCACAGAATGATTCCCTTTGGTAACTGCATCTTCGGTGATAGTGCATACTGCACTACCAGTATCAATCAGCGCTTGATGTGGTATACCGTTTATTTTGACTTCGCGTATGAATCGTGAGAGAGAATCTGTGGTACATTCCCTTCTCGAGACTATGTTAACGGACGCGTTCCCACCCATGTTTGACGTTTCTGTGACAGTTGCATTTGCTTGAAATTTTGTGCAATTCTTTTCGAAATGACCAGGTTGAAAACATCCATAGCAGAGTTGTTGTTTAGATTTGTCGCATTTGGTTCTCAAATGACCCTTACAACCACAGTTATAACAAACTACGTCATGCCCTTTGCCCTCATTCGTTATTGGTCTACTCCTATCGTCGTTAACATATCTAGATTTTCTCATACGTTCATACACTTGCTCAAGCAGAAATAAATCTTGCCACAAATCATCAACCGTCAAATGATTTTTGATTATCAAATTTCCCGCTATATCTGCCTTATGCAATCCCTTCAAAATTTCACATTTTTGCTCTGAGAATGGTAGATTCAATTCTGATAAAAGTCTCACCTTATCATGAGAATAACTAGATATACTTTCCGCAGGCTTTTGTATCCTACAACGCACTCTATCCCAGCGATAGAAGATAGAAGATAGAAGAAGAATAGAAATAGTTTGAATGAATGTTGATCTGAATTGGGATTCAAATTTTTTCCAACAGGCAATTCCCCTACCAACTCTATCAAACCACGCTACTGCCGGACCCCTCAAGTATGCGCGAGCAATATTAATTTTGGAAATGTCATCTAGATTTCGCAAAGTACTACTCAAATTGATCGTATCTAACCATTCTTTTGCTCTGAATCGCTCCCTGTCCCCATCAAAATGCCATTACACCGATGGTACTTGCGACACAACACACCGTGTATTACTGTTATTCAAAATATTCAACTGAGCTGTCATCAATTCTGTCATTTTGAACATCATATTTTTGAAATCTACCCCATGACTAATATTACTACTTGCTGCTGGAGTTGTGCTCTCCGCATCATCAACCACTCCATTTGCCAGAATATTGGAATCAGAATCAGGATGTATCATTTTATCAGCCAAGACTACTTCAACTTATCTATAGACGCTTACCTACACCTCGAAACATGTACCAAACCAAACCCAACCTAATCAACGACTCAGCCTCTCTTCGTCTTGATTCTTCTGTCAGATTTCTAAAATGCACCTTCCTTTCGGAAAGATACAACGTCCCAATAGAAATTTTTGGCCGCGAAATCGAACACCACTTCTGAAGTGATAGTAAATACCCCTTTTAACGACAGCAGTATTTATTCATCTGACCAAAATACATGAAATATCCCTCTCACGCACAGATTCAACCTTTCGATGATTGACAAACGAATTAATAAATTATATTTCAAAAGTGACATCCGCTCTCAAAATGCCAAAATACGGGATGTTGTCGATGATATTGAATAAAATACCTAACAGGAGGAAGTGTCAAATGTCATTTATCTACCAATCAATTCCAAATACATTGATGAAATAATTCTCAGATTAGTAGATCAAACTGGAACCTTAATTAATTTCCAAAAGGAAGTCATAACAGTCAGGTTGCATTTGAAAGAGCTCTAGTGGATATGGTGTTTCGCTATAATATTCCAATGTCATCATCCACAATGGGTCCGGAAACGCGTTCTCCATCAATCAGAAGTATCAGTCCGAAAGGTGACTTCAAACAATTAACACCTGAGAATCAACAGTTCCTCATTTCACTCGGTTTCAAATTATTATAAAAGGCAAAACGAAGACTTTTTACGAATTTTGGTATAACCTTAAATTGGACATCAACTCTGGTCTTAGAAGGTTTCTCATTCTCCTAAGGTGTTCCTGTGGAAGAAAAAGTGAAACACAACAAACACGAGTTTCAATATTTTGCATATTGGTGAACATGTAATGATGGACAATGCGATAACGAATTGCGAAATGCACTCTCATCCACCATATGCCAATACAAGCCTAAATAAGTCATTCGAGATACGTGTTCTGATTCAAACGCAGGATATTTTCACATTACAATCACAAAGTTACATTTATCTAGAAGGTAGGATTACTGACAGTGAAGATAAAGTGAGTGCTACACTGAACTTCATCAACAATGGTATTGCTTTTCTATTTGATGAAATCTGATATGAAATTGGTGGGTCCGTTGTGGATCGAGTTCGTAATCCTGGAATCACATCAGCTATGAAGGGCTACATTTCTTATACAAATAATGAATGCAATAGATATATAAATGCTGGTTGGAATCATCTTGGTCATCCGGAAATTGTTGATCTTCAAGGGAACTTTAGCGTTTGTCTACCACCCAAACATCTATTGGGATTTTGCGAAGATTTCAAGAAAATTCTGGTGAATATGCGGCAAGAACTTGTTCTCATCAGGAGTAGCAATGGCATCAATCCTACGATAACCTCCAAGGCTGGAGAAAAACCAAAAATTGAATTGACAAAAATTCCATGGCGCATTCCACACGTTCAAACGGCAGATGTGGAGAAATTGCGGTTGATCAAGTATATTGAAAAGGGGAGAGATTTAGAGATAGCCTTCCGTTCCTGGAAACTCCACGAATTTCCC